AGAGCGTCGACGTCAAGCTGAAGATGGACCACAAGAGCGACCTGGTGTTCCTGGGGGACATGAAGCCGGACGAGATCAACTACCGCTTGAAGAACTACTACAAGTTCATCTTTGTGCGAAACCCCATGGAGAGGCTGCTGTCGGCCTACAGGAATAAATTTGGGGAGATCAAGGAGTACCAGCAGAGGTATGGGGTGGAGATCGTCAGGCGGTATCGGAAGAATGGGGGGAATTCAGTGGGCGACGACGTGACCTTCTCTGAGTTTCTCCGGTACCTGCTGGATGAGGAGGTGGAGAGGATGAACGAGCACTGGATGCCCATCTACAACCTGTGCCAGCCCTGCGCCGTGAGGTACGACTTCATCGGCTCCCACGCGAGCGGCTGAACGCGGACGCCAGCTATGTCCTCGAGCGAGTCCAGTCGCCCTCCTTCATCCACTTCCCCGAACGGCAGTCGTGGTACAAGCCCATGACGGCAGAAACACTCCGTTACTACCTGTGCAACACCCAACGCCGACTGATAAAAGAGCTGTTACCAAAATACATCCTGGATTTCTCCCTCTTTGGCTACCCCCTTCCCAACATAACCAGCGAATTCTGCAGGCAATGAGTTGTTCATTTCGGGATCTGGTGTAAATTCTGCCTACGCTGCAAGGACTTGCTAATGCAGCCGTTGTTGCGAATAACACGTTGCTGCAGGGCCTGTGAAACACGTTCTTCTATGCATTATTTCCTAATTTTATACTTTACAAACACTGTTTATATAAAGTATTGTACATTGCCTTTGCTACTAGAATACTTTTTGTATTGTTCTGATTTTAATGTGTACATACGCCGCTGACTTGAGCACAGTAGCTTTTGTATATCTATTTTGCTTTCAATTCTTATGACACGGAAAACATCTGTAAGGAAATTGAGAAATGGATATATTTTAAGTATTTTTCCCTCCTTTTTTGTGTTTTGTACTAAATAGTACGTGGCTGAATTGCAATCATGACTTGACGTATCCATGGGGTCATGCTGGAGCACCTCAAAGCACGTGGCCATGGCTAAGCCCACCGTAGAGCGGGTCCACCCCTGGAGGGACTGCAGCTGTGGTAAGGCCACGCTGGAGCAGGTCTATCTCTGAAGGTGGTGTGGCCCATGGAGAAGGCCACGCTGGAGCTGGCGCACCTCAGAGCGACTCTGGCTGTGGATAAGTCTGTGTCGCAGCAGGTATGGCCCTGGAGAGACTGTGGCTCGGAGGGAAGGCTCCACTCGGAGCAGGTACAGCCCGAAGGGACTGCAGTCTGTGGGTAAGTCCAAGCTGGAGCAGGGGCAAGGGGAGGAGTTCATTGCAATGTTAAACCCAATGGCCTGGTCCAAAGGGACCAGGGCTGGAGTTTGTAATGGAAATACCTTTGAATTGCTGTAACCCGGGATTTGAGTTGCATCTTATGGCAATTACTATAGCAGGAACCACCTGAACCAACGGAGGACATGCCTCACAAGAAGCAGCACCAGTGCAGCAGTGACCCGACCTGAGCTGGCTTTGGTGCCCAGAAACTCCACACAACAGACCACCGCTCCTGACCCAAGTGAGCACCGTAACAGATGGAGCCCAAAGTCACGGACTAAATGAACTCAGTGGACATTCTGTGGGCATTTCTGGACATCTTACAGACACTTTACAGGGGTGGTCCATAGACTAAGGGAATGATATCTGTGTATTATCTCAAAGGATGGGAAGGGGGGTGGTGGGCAATGAGGATGTATTGGATAGCGTGGGACCTGAGCATGACGTAAGTGGTATGGAATAAGGGGTGGAGAATGTGCTGGGTTTGGCTGGGATAGAGGAAATTTTCTTCAGAGTAGCTAGTATGGGGCTGTTTTGGATTTGGGCCGGAAACAGTGGTGATAAAACC